TGAAAATTCACACACACAAAGCAGAAAAAGAATGAATACCGAACTTTTCAAAACTGTTACTCATTATTTCATTTTTTTCATGTTTTTTATCGTAAAGTGAACAAAGACTACAATCATGTGAGTCCAGAGTGGAATAAATAAATAAAGGTGACAACCACCAGGAGCATAAACAAATAAAAGCAAATGTAATGATAGAAACCTTAGCCAGTTAGATAACATGCTGCTTTCATTTTGTACATCTCCGATGTTGCTGTTATTTTCAAATATACAATACTGTAAAAATATCCATAGCTGGTTATTTATTTTCCAGGTGCACAGTTTTATATTGTTAAAACACTTTACAGTATTGTATTTTTCATATTTTAACTCTTCCCTATTATGTTATTCTTGGGGAAAGCTTTAAAGAGGACTTTTCCAAGGAGGACAGGATCGCCCGGGCTGTGGCCCCTGGTTCAAGAAGCCAGGAGCCCTGACAAACCCGCATACGTGAAAGAAGCGTTCCCCCTGATCGATAAACGAAGAGTGGACACTGACTAAGTACATGGCCGCGTTTATTTTTTTAAATTTATTTTTTATTTTTTTTACTGCCACTGGTAAGGCAAACTCTGTATTTGTTAAAAGGGCTATAGCACTTTTTTTTAAAAATATTAATTGTTATTGGCTGTTATCTCATTCCTGCTCATCGTTCCTGAGCTTAGTTTTTGCACAACTACTGTGTTTATTTCATGTTGTCTTTACTTTCACTTAATGCTAGGGGTTTAAAAAATAATGTCAAATGTACAGCTACTTATCTTTATTGCAAAGAGCAAAAGGCAAATTGTTTTTTCTGCAGGAAACTCATTCACCCAATGAGGAGGCTAAATTATGGAAACTTCAATGGGGTGACCAAATTTATTTCAGTCATGGTACTTTGCATCCTGCTGGGTTTATAATTATGTTTCATAAATTCCCAGGTTCTTTGTTGGAGCATATCATTGATAGAAATGGCCACTGGGTAACTGTGATAGTGGAGATTGATGGAAATAAGATAATTCTGGTGTGTGTATATGGATATAATAATAAAGCAATGAATAGTAAATTTTTTGCAGAAATTGGAGAGATGATAAAACATTGGAAAACAAAATATTCCACTGATAAAGTTGTTTTAGGTGGAGATTTTAATGTAACTCCAGATGCATCAATTGATGGTCTCCCCTCCCAGGGGCAGCACCATATGTACGACGATATTTTTTAAAACTTAACCTCTAATACAAATTTGACAGACTGCTGGAGGATTAGAAATCCAAATACTAAACAATACTCCTGGTTCAATCCTTCTGGAAATGGCCAGAGCTCTAGGCTAGATTACTGGTTAATTCCTTATAAGATGTTAGATAATATTTTGAGCTGTCAAATCTCAGCAGCTCCGCTAACAGATCATTGTTCAGTCACCTTGCTTCTCTCTTTAAATAAATCTAAACCACCTTCAAATCTAGCTTGGAAGTTTAATAGTAATCTACTGAATAATAAAACCTTCTGTTCAGAAGTCCTGAACCTTATTGAGAAATCTTAGTAATGGATATGTCATCCTTAAATAAGTGGAGTGGTTCAAATGTAATGCTAGTACTACAGCAATAAAGACAGGTAAACTTGCTTCAAAACTGAGGAGACAGAAATAATCCCAATTTATTGATAATATTAACTCTTTATGTTCAAAATAATTGTTTATCCTCTGAGGAGCTGAGTCAACTTGATGTTTTCAAATCTCAACTAGATGATGTTTTAATTTTTCCCTCGCTCCAGGGCTCAGTGGATTGAAGACGGTGAAAAGAACTCTTTATATTTTTTCAATCTTGAGAAGCAGAGACAGTCCAAAAAGAAGATTCGGAAACTAATTATTAATGGTAGTGTTACTGAAGATATGGATTTAATACATACAACGATTAAACATTTTAATAGCAATCTTTATTGTTCCAAGTATTCAGAATCCAATTGGCAGTCTTTTTTCGATGAAATTCAGGAATCTGTTAAAATAATGTATCAGAATTTAAAAATCTTATGCAAGATGACTTAAGAATCGAAGAGCTTGACGTAGCAATAAAACAAATGGCAAAAGGGAAATCTCCAGGCCTTGATGGGTTAACCACTGAATTTTATACTTTCTTTTGGAAAGATTTACAAAGGCTATTATTTGAGGAATGCATTTCAAACAATAATCTCTCTCCCACTATGAAACGAGGTTTCGTAATTCTGATCCCCAAAGCCAACAAAAATCCTTTATCACTAGACAATGGGAGACCCATCACTCTTTTATGTACAGATTACAAAATTTAAGCTCTAGTTTATGCCACTCGCTTAAATAGTCGATTATTAATGAATGCCAGACAGCTTTTTTAAAGGGAAGAAATATCCATCATTATAAGACTGAGTTTTGATGTGATTGATTATCTGTTGGGATCCTGAGGCTTGCCCACCAGAGGGCGCTGAGGATCCCTTCCTAGGGGTTTGTGTTACTGCTGGGATCTGGGGTTCTGTCTATCTTTTCTCCACCAGAGGGCGTATTGGATCTCTTGAAGCTGGAGCTGACTTCACCAGCTGTTCCTTATCTGCTCATCAGGAGACCAGTATTTAAGTGGGCTGAGGACCACACTCCAGTTCCAGAGTGTTAGTCAGTTATGGTACAGCGAACCCTGAGCCAAACTGCCTGTCTTGTCTCCTGACTTCTTGACCTGAACCTGATCCTGATATTTCTTCTCTGCTTTCCAGGTTGAACCTGTCTGTAACCAGAAACCCCAAAGAGTTCCTCTGTTGGAAATCTTTCTGTCTGATCTCAGAAGAACCCTGGAGAACCAAACCTGCCAAAGATCTGTCAACCTGCTCCCAGAAAAATCTGGAAGGGAAAACTCAAACCTGGTAATCTGCAAGCCCTTAACCAAGCTCAGCCTTCAGCCTGCCAACAGCCACAGAACCCTCCTTTTTCCCCCCTCTGCCGCTCTGCTCTATCTCCAGAACTGTAAACCCAGTCGTGACCAGCCTTGGACCTGATAACCCCCCTGTCCTGTTATTATGTTCATTAAATAATTAAACCTTTGAACTTGTCCCCAGTCTCTGTGTGTGTGTTCTGCATTTGGGCTAGGAACCAAAACCCAAACGTGACATTATCGTAATTTTATTGATCTTGACAGTTTTATGCCTGGCTTTCTCTAAGGCCTTTTAATATAATTAAATTATTCTACAATGATATAAGTAGTTCAGTTTCCTTGGGAAGGAGTATGGTACCAAGTTCCTCTATTTCACCTAAATTATTTATACTAACAACTCAAACGCTTACATTACTAATTATGAAAAATTCAAATTTACATGGTCTTAAAATTTTTGATAGGGAATTCAAAATAAGTCAATTTGCTGATGACACTACAATCTTTCTAAGTGATAAAACTATGGTAGACATTGCGGTTAAATCCATTTTAAAGTTTTCCAGAGCGTCTGGTCTGTCTCTCAATATTAACAAATGTGAACTTCTGCCGATCCATTCCAGCTTTGAGGCGTCTGTTGCCTCTTATTACAGTCAAGTCCAAAGGTAAATACCTGGGAATATTGAGTTTGAAAAATGTTATTAGAAGAGAGGAAGAAAATATTGGTAGTTGTTTGATTGGCATGAAGTCATTGGTTAACTAGAGATCTGACTATTTTTGGACGAGTACTTTTGTCCAAAGCTGAAGGAGTTTCTAAATTAATTTATCCATGCCATTTTGCTTTTATTTCTGACAAAAATATTAGGAAAGCCAATTCAATAATCTTTCAATTTATCTGAAGGAATAAAACTCACGATCTATGTCAATCACATCTTGTTAAAGATTATGATAAGGGTGGTATTAGAGCCTTAGATTTTGAGGCTCTGGTTGGTTCATTTAGGATAAATTGGCTAAAGACCTTTTATGCCTCCTTCCAATTCAGTGTGGTTTCATATCCCCAAATCTATATTTAAGACACTTGGTGGCTTGGATTTCTTGTTTAAATGTGATTTTGATTTAGGAAGATTAACATTTACTGTCTAATTTACATAAACAAGTTTTACAATTTTGGAAGATGATATTTACTCATAACTTCAACTCTCATCGATCCA